GAAGTAGGTTGATGAAATTTGACCAAGATTGAAAATGGGCCATATAGGTCCACGTTTAGGTATAGCCGCGTTATAACTACCGACAGATTTAAGGTTTTTTTGTGTGTGTTGTGTTTTTTGTATCACAATGCTAACCCGACTTTGCTGTAAATTTGTAGCATGTGTTCCTGTTATGTAAGAAACATCCTTGCATATAACTGTCAACATACGTTTAAGTATTGGTATAGAGGGTGAGATAAAAAAGTCAAACGCCATAATTTTTACATTTTTTTATTTTAAATTTTGAATGAAAAAAATGTCGGAAATAGCAAAAAATTTTAGAATAACTTTAGATTTCTACGAATTGGTTAACTTTAGCACGAATTATGACCTTCAAACGGCCAAAGAAACCGTCACACGCTGCCCGTATTTTGCTCTACGCTATTTTGATTCATTCCCGGTGAAGCACTTAATTGTGGAGATCGATCGACACTTTGGTATTTTTTCGTGCCAACCTTGCTTTCCAAAATACTTCAGACACAAAAGTCCAACGGATTGATATCCGGAGATTTTGGTGGCCATTGTGCGCTGGAAATGAAGCGAGGAACCTCATTTTGTAACCATTCTTGGGTGGCACATGCTGAGTGCGATTGTGCTGAATCCTGTTGGTATGTACACCCTCCAGAATATTTTCGCGATAATATTCGGCATTTGTTCTGATGCCACGGTCGATTATACGAGCGGAGAGCGACCATCGACTAGTATGGCGGCCCACACCATCATCATGGCTGGCGTTTGAGTTCTGGTGGCCAACTGTAAACACAACCATCGGAGAAAAGCAAATTCGACAGTCACCACTTTCGGCCAAGCGAAGCCACTCTTTAGCTCTTTCAAGTCTATTTTCTTTTTATTGCGGTGTTAGTTCTTGCACTTTTTGGAATTTGAACGGTTTACCCCGAGTTCGTTTTTCAATATTTGCTGAATAGAATAGCTCAGCTCACGAGGCGTTTTTCGACCACTGCGTAGCTGGTTTCGATCAAATCGCTTCTTTACTGTTCGAACCATTTCTGCTGATGTTCCTGTTTTCTTCCGACCACTTTCTTCGCATATGTCTGGTCGACGTTTTGGTATAGCCCTCATATAATGGTACATCTCTATTTTCGGTATTTTGGCGATTAAAGCGACACCGACACCGGAAATATTTCAAATTTGGTATTCCAAATTCGTAATGGATAGTAGAGCCTAAGACAGAAGAAAGTCTGTGCATGTCCACGCCTTCGTATAGCACCCATATAACAGTACCTCCCGATATTCCTTACTTCGATGATTTTAGCGACATTTTTCCCTGGAACTGTTTCATATGTCGTATTTGAAATTCGTAATGGGTACTACAGTCTGTGACAAAAAATTTCGTTTGCAGTCCCACGTGTTCGTATAATCCCCCATATAACGGTACCTACCGATATTCTATACTTTAATGATTTTAGCGACATTATTCGCTGGAACTGTTTCAAGTATCGTATTTGAAATTCGTAATGGGTACGACAGCCTGTGAAAAAAAATCGCTAGTATTCCCTCGTGTTCCTATAATCCCCATATTTCGGCCCGACCGATCTTAGCTGTTTTTTTTAGTTTTTCCCTACCGATCGAACACCATCACCTCTACGCACAATTTCCTATCTCCCCTGCTTGGGTCTTGTACCCATTAGAATCGTGGACATTTTAGCACTGGTCCCTTACTCCTTTGAATCTTAGTTATTCGGTTTCTAAAACAATGAAATTCTTGTTAAAATTTGATTAATTTCACCCAAAGGACAATCGCAATAAAGGACATGTGTGGCATGGTAATTATCATGAATGTTCACATGTATTATTTTGTATTTCAACATGTCCAACAATGTTATTGTGTACACATAAGAATCAAATATTAAACGAGGGTACACGTATGTATATAAAAATACAACTGTGGTTACAAACTGGGTTATCTGTAGCTGGGTTTGAAGAGGTAGAATTCTTTCTCTTCTGGGATTTGCAACACTCTTTTCTTGGACGCATTCAATTTATATTGATTTCTAAATACTCTTATCTAATAAAGATTGTTTTACCCCATTTTATAAATTTGTAAATTTACCCACCCCCCCCCACCAAAAAAAATAGGTTCCAAATTCCTCTCTTCATTTCTTAATCAATTTGTTGAAAACATAATCGAATATCATGGCCATTAACAAAATCGATTGGGCAATTTGTTATGAATGGCGATGATTGATTCTAATTGCTTAGAAATTTGATGATGTAATTCGCATTAGTGAACAATTGTTGTATTAAAACATTTTTGTTTTTTTTTAATTTATATGAAAGTAGAATACACACAGAACAAAATTGGTAAGGATGTTGAATATAATTATTCACTATACCTGCAATTTTTGGAAAAATGTTTCTCAATTCGGTAAAACTAATAAGTCTCTAAGGCGTATTGAAGGAAAAGGAAACTAATATGATGTTCTCTTTTGTAAAGAATAATGTTGGTAAAATTATAAAAATGACGAATATAGGGAGTTACCGATATTTAGGGGCTAAACGAAGACCTGGACCTGCATAGACAATTTTCAGGCTGTACTATCCATTACGAATTACAAATAGGAAATTTGATATAAGTCCGGTGAACAATGTCGCTAAAATCATCAAAATACCGAATATAGAGAGGTACAGTTATATAAGAATTATAACTAAACGTGGATCTATGTAGCCCATTTTTAATACCAAAAGGCCTGCAGACGAAACACGCATTTGAGTAAAAATTTATCAACCTACTTCAATCCGTTCGGAAGCTAGAGTGATTTCCACAGACGGTCATCGTTAAATCGACATAGAATTTTATGCTGATCAAGAATGTATATACTTTGTGGGGTGGTCTACAATGTATATTTCAAGGTGTTACAAATGTAATGACAAACTTAATATACCGACCATAATATGGTGAATGGTATAACGACTAATGGTGTGCGAACCTAAAATTCGACCAGTATGCCATTTTTATGCTTTTTATATACATTTCACATACAAAACTTCTCGAAATATACATTAAAATTAGGCCCGCGTTTCTCTACACTCCGCACACCTCAAATTTTCTGCCACTATAAGATTCAGTGTGGGAATAAAATATTCTGGCTCATTTCTGTTGGTGCAGTATTTTGGCGCCCAAGAGTAGACACATTGGAAAAAGGCTTTAAAAATACCGTTTAAGGACCTATTTCTTGCAATATATATTATAGTGCCTTAACATTTAACAAAACCCATTTATATTATTTTTCTCGTCCTACGTGTTAAAGAAGTCAGCCTCAGCCATATGGCAAGAGAGGTATATATCATTTGATACGGCCAAAAAGGGTCTAATCTCTTTGGACCAAATCCGTTTCAAGACATTTGGAGTCGATCTAGCGATGTCCGTCCGTCTATCAGGCTGGTGCGCACGAATCGTAATTGGTACATCGTAATATTACTATCAAACTTAGATCGAGTTCGAAATTTTTAAAAAATTATATTTTACTGCACAGAAAGAGAAAGGATAATCCGATTTTGCTGCAACATTAGAAATCCTAATATTTGAATCAGTGCTAGGTCAGGCGCGAAAATGGACAGTATCAGTCCACTCCTTCTGGTGCCTCCACACAAAGTGTAAACATTTTGAATAATAATAATAATAATAATAATAATAATAATAATAATAATAATAATAATAATAATAATAATAATAATAATAATAATAATAATAATAATAGTAATAATAGTAATAATAATAATAATAATAATAATAATAATAATAATAATAATAATAATAATAATAATAATAATAATAATAATAATAATAATAATAATAATAATAATAATAATAATAATAATAATAGTAATAATAATAATAATAATAATAATAATAATAATAATAATAATAAAAATAAAAGAATAAAACTCTTATAAAATGTGAAATAAGAGTGCGATAGTCTTCAAATTACACAGATCTCAATATTTTTATCAGCATTAGATCCGTTATAAAGATATTAGAGATCGGACCATTCCTTCTGGTATTTCTACCAACACAAGATGTGCTACGAAGATGGGATATATCGGTCCACTTCTTCTGGTACCTACCCACAAAGGGGCAAAGTTTTGAATATGCATGAAGCTCATAAAACGCAAAATTAATATCCTATTCCATTAAGACTCGATACATCTTAATATTTTTTATCAACACTAGATATGTTATAAAGATGCCGATCTATACCATCTTTATAACATGTCTATTGTTGATAAAAAATATTAACTTCTTACGATACCTCCTCCACAATGGGGTTAATTTTAGAATACCCATGAAGCTCATAAAACGCGAAATTAATATCCTATTGCATTCAGACTTGGTGCATCCCAATATTCTCATCAACTCAAGATCTGTTATAAAAATTGTAGAAATCAGACCATTTCGTCTGGCACCTCTCCCACATATGGTTCTAAATTTTTTAAAACCCAAACGCTCAAAGAAAATCGAAATAAGTATCCAACTCTTCAAATTTCACACATGCATACATTGTTGCTTACTCCCGATCTGAAGTCAAAATAATAATCGAATATTAGCTGAGGGTATACATCTGTCGGCAAAACCGCCCGATACATTTTAACTTGTTTTTGTTTGTGTCATGGCATTGCCTCATATGTGAGAATGTCCAATATTTTTTCGTATCCTAATTTTTAAGCACGATTTGTAAATAAAAACCTCCTTCAAAATTACTCAATACCAAAAATTACACATTTTAGATACTTAAAAATCCTTCGGCACTTTTTGCAATAGATTTGGCTTTTAGTATATCAGTAGTTATTAAACCCCTTAACACAAACTTTTAATATCCTTTTTGTCCTTTTGAACTGAAACCGGTATGAATTTATGTTTAATTAATTTATTTTATATCTTTTTTTGTAGAATTACATTGGTTCCATGAAAATCTAAATTTAAAAAAAATTAACAAAATTACCTTTCAATTTATCACTATTCTTTTCTTAATTTTTCCAAATGAATTTTTTTTTTTCACTTAATTTTTTATTAAACGAAACGAAATTTCATATTTTCATAAAATTTGAAATATTTATTTGTTTATTTGTTGATGTTATTCTTTATTATTGTAATTTATTTCATTAATTCTGTTTCACTTCCACTTAAATGCGACGACGACACATCTTTGAATGCGTCTTCACCAAATGAATTCTCTCAACCAACTGTCGATTTCAGAATTTATTTTTTTTTCTAAATGATTTTCCGTATTTGTTTGTATGTTATGTTTGACTTTGCGGGTTTATCTGAATGTATTTATGTGTGTGTGTGTAGGGGAATAGTTTCTTAACTGGATGGCTGTCAGACTGACTGTTTGACTGGACGTGTAGAGTAAAACTAAAGCGTTAAACTGAAAGAAATTCTAACTACCATCAACAAAAATCATTCAGACCGCCAAAGCGAATAACCAACGACGGACAATTGAGTTAATGTGTCACACGAACTCTATTAACAAACAACAACAACACCGACTTGTGTGTTTGTAAAAAACAATCAATTGGTCTATGGTCTAATCGTCAACATCACCATCATCATATGGGAGTATGGATGGAATACAGGGATGGAGTAAAATGGGCGCTAGGGAAAATTATTTATATTTAATTAAATTCACATTAAATTCTTCATACTTTATTAATTTTCATACACCAGCTCCCCCTCAACCGTTAATCACAAAAGTAGTCCTTCAACCGAGTTTCACACTTCTAGCTCCCTACAAATTACAAATTTTATTTCGCATTGTTCGCATTTTACACCCTCCACAATACTATAGAGGGTATATTAACTTTGTCATTCATTCGAAATACTCATGTCAAACTCATATATATTCTTGATCAGCGTAAAATTCTAAGTCGTTTTAGCGATGTCCGTCTATCTCTGTGTCTGTCTATCTGTCTGTTGTAATCACGCTATCTTTCGAACAAAATGAGACAGAAATCTAAAATTGTGCACACATCTGTATTTTGCTTGTAGGCAGGTTAATGGGTCATGTCAGTCCATGTTTTCGTATAGCTCCCATATAACGGTACGTCTTAATATTCGGTACTTTGATGATTTTAGCCACATAATAAATCGGAATTGTTTCAAATTTCATATTAGAGGATCTTAACGGCTACTACAATGTATTACAAAAAATTACTTATGCCGGTCCACGTCTTCGTATAGTCCACATTTTGAGACATTATTCAACGGAATTGTTTAAAATTTCGTATTTGAAGTTTGGAATCGGTACTACAGCCAATGACAAAAAATTATATACTTACTTACTTATTACTTATGCAGGTCCTAGTTTAGATGGTATTTTTGGACAATTTTTTTATATCCTCCACCATACTATGGAGGGTATATTAACTTTGTCATTCCGTTTGTAACTCCTCGGAATACTCATGTCAGACCCAAGAAAGTATATATATTCTTGATCAGCGTAAAATTCTAAGTCGATTTAGCGATGTCCGTCTGTCTGTCTGTCTGTTGTAATCACGCTATCTTTGGAATGAATTGAGATAGATGGCTAAAATTTTGCACACATGTTTATTTTTCCAGTAGGCAGGTTAAGTTCGTAAATGGGCCATGTAGGTCCACGTTTTCATATAGCCCCCATATAACGGTACCCCCCTATATTCGGTATTTTGATGATTTTAGCGACGTTATTCACCGGAATTGTTTCAAATTTGGTATTTGAAGTTCCAAGTGGATACTACACCCTAAGATAGAAAATTGTCTGTGCAAGTCTATGTCTTCGTATAGCCCCCATATAACGGTACCTCCCGATATTCGGTATTTTGATGATTTTAGCAACATTATTCACGGCAATTGTTTCAAATTTGGTATTTGAAGTTCCAAATGGATACTACACCCTAAGACAGAAAATTGTCCGTGCAGGTCCACGTCTTCGTATAGCCCCCATATAACGGTACCTCCTTATATTCGGTATTTTGATGATTTTAGCGACATTATTCACCGGAATTGTTTCAAAATTGGTATTTGAAGTTCGTTATGGAAACTACAGTCTGTGACAGAAAATTGTCGGTGCGGGTCCAGGTCTTCGTATAGGCCCCATATATCAGTGCCTCCCTATATTCGGTATTTTGACGATTTTTGGTACAATGCCCACCGAAATTGTTTGAGATGTGGTATTTGAAGTTCGTATAGGAACTGACGAACTTACCGCTTTTTAACTTGTTAATTTTCAAGTCCCTTCCAAATGTTGAGGGTATTAAAAGTTCCGACTTCGGTGAACTATAGTGATTTTTTTACTAGTTAGAGCCGGACTCTTGAAAATTGAAATGTGTACTAAAAGGTACTAGATTGAACTAAGTAAAGTAGAGCTAAATAAATTACAGGGTGAGATAAAAAACTACAACAAAGTCAAAGCAAAAAAATGTCGGAAATAGAATCAAATTTTAGAATAATTTAAGATTTGTTTGAATTTGTCAACTTTGGCACGAATTATGACTTTCAAACGGCCAATGAAACCATCACACGCCGCCCAAATGTTGGTCTGGGGTATTTTGGCCCATTCTCTAGACACAATAGTCCAACGCCTTGGTATCCGGAGATTTTGGTGGCCATTGTGCGCTGGAAATGAAGCGAGGAACCTGATTTTGTAACCATTCTTGGGTGGCGCATGCTAGTGCGATGGTGCTGAGTCCTGTTGGAATGTCCAAGGTCTGCAGCCAAAATGTTTGCGTACCCAAGGCTTTAATACACCCTCCAGGATATTTTCGCGATAATATTCTGATGTCACGGTCGATTAATACGAGCGAAGAGCGACCATCGGCTGTTATGGCGGCCCACACCATCACCATGGCGGGGCTTGAGTTCTGGTGGCCAACCGAAGGTGCACATTTTCAGTTGACCTCATTGGCAAGTAAACACGATCAGTTTGTTTTTTTTACAATCTGTTGGACAAAGAATGTTTTCTCATCGGGGAAAATCAAATCCGTCAGTTCGCCACTTTCAACCAAGGGAAGCTATTCTTTAGCTCTTTTGAGTATATTTTCTTCTTGTTTTTATTATGATTTTAGCATGTATATTTTTCTTGGAAATTCCAATGGATTTGACTGATGACATGTTATGTCAGAAATTATAAGGTGGCCTCGAAAAATTTATCAGGCAATATTGGCTTTTTTAGAAATATTTCTCCTGGGTTTCTATTTTGCTTTCCTGTACAATATCAATTTTAAATAAACAGACATAGACATTCATGTCATTACACGGTGTAAGAGTGTGACAAATTAGGTTTCTCAGAAGATTACACTTTAATAGGCTTATAAGGAACTATATAAGACATGAAATGCGGGATGAAGCTCAGCTAACCTCTTCGGGGAAGCACCCCTACTAGTAAAGGGCATGGTGTAATCGGCCATCCCCAACTTTGAACTTTTAAAAAGTACTCTAGAGTTGATTACAATCTTCCGGTGCTTTTCCAAACTGATTCCAACTTCATCCCTCAATCCGTCCCCGTTGAAATGTTTGTTCGCATACATTCGCAGCGCCACTACAATTCCAGAGTAGTTGTGAATGAGTAAGCCAACCAGCGAGCTAGCGAACCAGCCACCCAGTCAGCCGGCTGATACCAATCGGGGAAAAAACCATGCGCCCACTAACCGACTGAAAAAGTAAACATTGTACGTACGTATGCCGGATTGTGTGTAGGTATTTTTGTGTTTGCTTTTGTTTTCTTTGGTAGTGTTAGTTTGTTGATATTGTTTTTTTTTTTTTTTTGTTTTGTCTTTTGTTTTTTACTATTTTATTTGTTTAATATTTTGGTATTGTTCTTGTTTTTTTTATTTATTTTTTCGCTGTTGTTACTCCCAACCATGCAATAGCAATAATATTCAATGAGCAAAGTCATTGTCTTAGCGCCCCGGACCCAGTGTCATTGTTTACACAAGTCTAGTCGGAAGCACACACCAATAATAAGCTTTAATAACATTTTGATGTGGGTAAAAATGTAGGTTTTGGATTGCGATTGAAAGGATTCGAATAGTGAATAGTGGTATGGGTGGCAATTTTTGGGGGAAATCATGACATCGTTTTTTCAAGTTTTTTGAGATCTGTCATGTCAGATTTTTTTATATTTAAATAGATTTTTGTTTGTTATGAAAATAACCCTTTGCACTTTCGTCTGATTTATTTTGAATAAATAAAAGTCAAAACTATATCTTGTTCGAATTGAGGGTAGTTTTTAATAAAAGAAAGATAGAAAAATTTGCAACTTTATTAATATATATAAGATTTTGACTAGTAATGCTAATTATACCCTTCAACACTATGTGTTGGGGTATTATAAGTTTGATTGAGCCAAAAACTATGTACCACCTCAAAATATTGGTCCCCGACATAGGAAACTATATATGGATCTTCTGAGTCGATCTTGCTATGTATGTCCGTCTGTCCATGTTAATTTGTAATCGCGCTACAGGTCGCAATTATGGCCGTAATGGCCCTATGGATCTTAGTTATTCTGCTTATAAGTCATGAACCGCTGTACTAAGAAAATCTAAATGTAAAGTAAATTACGACAATAAAAATGTGAATATTTTTTGATACAGTTTTTTAATTCTTGTCACATTTTTTATCGCATGCGATTTTTACAATTTGAATTGTACATTTTCTAAAGTTTTTCTACACCCCGCAACACTGTTTGTTGTGGGTATCAGGTCGCAATTATAGTCCGATCCTCACGAAATTTTCAGAATTAAAACCCATTGTTTTTGAAGGTGTACATTTACAGTCAAACGCCATAATTTTTACCTTTTTTTTAAATGTTTTTGAATGAAAGCATCGAAAATAGCATGCAATTTTATAATAATTTTAGATTTGTTCAAATTGGTCACCTTTGGCACAAATTATGGCCTTAAAACGGCCAATGAAACCGTCACACGCTGCCCGGATGTTGCTCTGCGGTATTTTGGTCCATTCCCGGCGAAGCGCTTGCTTAAGGTGATCGACACTTTGGTGTTTTTTAGTACCAACCTTGCTTTCCAAAATATTCCAGAAACAATAGTCCAACGGATCGGTACCCGGAGTTTTTGGTGGCCCACGTGCGCTGGAAATGAAGCGAAGAACCTCATTTAATAACGACTCGTCCTGTTGGAATGTCAAAGGGCTGTGTCCAAAATGTTTGCGTGGCCAAGGCTTTAATACACCCTCGGCAAATAATACGAGCGAAGAGCGACCATCGGCTGTTATGGCGACCTACACCATCACCATGGCCAGCGCTTGAGTTGAGATATTTTCAGCTGACCTCTTTGGCAAGAAAACATGATCATTTTGGTTGTTTACAAACTGCTGGACAACGAATGTTTTCTTATCGGAGAAAACCAAATTCGG